CAAAAAAAATTTTTTTTTTTTAAAGAAAAATTTTTGTTTTAAACTAGTGGTAAATGCCATTTCAAGACAACATAAATACTAAAAATGTTAATATTTTAATATTAACAGTTAATATTGTTATCTTGAGCCATAATATCACGAGTATTTCGCTGTCTACTATAGGTTTTGCATTGTGCTGGGTAGTTACATCACCCTCAATTAAGAGCCTTAACTTTTATTGGCCTAAATTCAGATGCACAGAACTCCTCTCGCCTGTGCAAACCTGCATTAAATAGCCTGAGGGTTATTGTGTCCCAATTGTTCCTAGCAACACTATATAACATGTAAGCTACGTAATTGTCTCTAGAATGGGCCTCTGTCTTTGATTTAACAGCTCAGAGATATTAGTGACTTTACTTCTAGTAGATATTAGTGACTTTTCTTTCTTTTAGAAGTAGAAATCTAAAGGATTTTAATTTTCATTTGTAGATAAAGGAGTGCGCATTTAAAAATGAGAGTCTCACAAAGTGGTTGAGTATGTTTTATTTATTTATTTTTGTGAGGAAGATCAGCCCTGAGCTAACATCTGTGCTGATCCTTCCCTTTTTTTTGCTGAGGAAGACCGGCTCTGAGCTAACATCTATTGCCAATCCTCCTCCTTTTTTTTTTACTGCAAAGCCCCAGCAGATAGTTGTCTGTCATAGTTTCACATCCTTCTAGTTGCTGTATGTGGGACGTGGCCTCAGCATGGCGGGAGAAGCGGTGCATCGGTGCGCGCCCAGGATCCGAACCCGGGCCGCCAGTAGCGGAGCGCGAGCACTCAACCGCTAAGCCACGGGGCCGGCCCAGTGTTCTCTTTGATTTTGTCTTTTCTCTCATCCTTTGGGTGTAAAAGGGAAGTTTAGGATGGGAACAAAATCCAGAAATAATAAAATAAGTCATTGTGGCTTTAGGTATTTTATGTTGGGAAAGCATTGTCTTAATGTATCACTTTTTATTACTGAACAGCTAGGTCACTGAACCAAACTCCATTTCAGCTCTAGTTTGGCTCCTAAAGATTGAGTTAATTATTTGAGCCCTCATATCAACTGGAGTTGGAAATAAATGTATTGAGGTGGGGGGGATTAAATATGATAACATGACAACCAGGGGCCAGGCCAGTGGCATAGTGGCTAAGTTCACACACTCTGCTTTGGCGGCCTGGAGTTCTCAGGTTTGGAACCCCGGGCATGGACCTATGTACCACTCACCAAGCCATGCTGTGGTGGCATCTTGTAGACAAAATAGAGGAAGATGGGCACAGATGTTAGCTCAGGGCTAATCTTCAGCAAAAAGAGGAAAGATTGGCAACAGGTGTTAGCTCAGGGCCGCTCTTCCTCACGAAACAAAACAAAAACTTAAAAAAAAATCATTTCCTATAGGAAATGCAAAAAAGAGTTTGCATGTGAATGAACAAAAAATATATTTAAAAAAAAAGACAGGGGCCGGCCCAGGGGCAGCAGCGGTTAAGTGCACGCGCTCCTCTGTGGCAGCCCGGGGTTCGCCGTTTCCGATCCCAGGCGTGCACTGACGCACTGCTTGTCAGGCCATGCTGTGGTGGCGTCCCATATAAAGTGGAGGAAGATGGGCATGGATGTTAGCCCAGGGCCAGTCTTCCTCAGCAAAAAGAGAGGAGGATTGGCAGATGTTAGCTCAGATGTTAGCTAAAAAAAAAAAAAAAAGACAACCAGGAGGTTAAAGAACCATTTTGAGCACTGATGCAGAAAGATCAGGTGACCATAGGGAACGATGACTTCAGAACGCCTTAAATTCAAGTTTGAAAAATGTTCGGGGAATTCTTAAGGCTTCTAACTGAACTTAGATTTTATCCAAAAGTAAGTTTGTTTTTCTTTCTCATTTGGTAAACATTCTGATGTTGTTCTGTTTCATTTGCTTAATGAGATCATGGATGATTATTTTTTAATTAAGGAGAGTTTGCTTTGTTAGCATTTTAAATGTCATCCATTTGGCTGATATTTAAAACTCAAACTGAGCTTAACCTTTTTGTTCCTTTGCCCTGCCCATGCTTTAAACTTGTGGGCTAAGAGTGATTTTGAAAACTAAGGATTTCAATTATTTCAAAACGAGGAAACTAACAAAAGTCGTTGCATGTTTAGGTTATATAAGTGGTATAAATGTTCTTGCTCGTTTTGGTAATAGATAAATGATGGGAACTCCGTAAGCTAGGCAGTATCTCTTCATCTTTCTTGTAGGAAGCATGTTCTCTGGTTAAGAAGATAACTTAACCCCCCGATAACAGATGATGCCAGAGAGATGTCAGAGCCAGTGATCAAAGGAGGAAGATTCCTTCCAACTGGGGAGTTATGAATGCTACATAGATATAGCAAATGAGTCTGTCCTGGGCCTAAGTGACAGGCTGAGCCATCTGTTTAAATCTATAACTCTGTTAGATCTCAGCTTCTATGATACGATGTCAGGCCCACTTTATAAATTTGAGGCATAATCAGTTTGAGAGATTTTTCAGCCAGTGTTAGAACCTATCCCTATCTCATATAGCTTACAACAATTTTTTTGAAAGCTTACTATCGCTCAACAAGATTGGCATCCTCTATAGTTCTAGCAGCAAGGTGTGCTGGGCCTTGAGGCTGGGCAGGGCTGTGTTCAAATCCCTGCTTGTGGCCTTGGGCAGCTGACTCAGCCTCTCTGAGCCTCTGTGCCCATCTATGAAATAGATGATCATGCCTACTTTGTGTGATGGGTTTGCAGATTAGGATCCATATATGAAAAGTTCATGGCATACCCTTTTTCATTATGCTAATTTAAAGGTAATTTTGTTTCTCATACTTACAATATTTTCATATATCCATCCTGAGACTTAACAAAGTGTCCTGTTCCATCAGGTTTTGGCTGTTCAGAAGTCATGGGTCTGTAGATTCTATCTGAAAACCTGTACTTAAAGGTGGGAGCACTTGCAGATTCTGCAGCCTACAGTGTTCAGGCATTTGACATTGAGTCACTATACAGGTGCAAATCTCACATTTCTGGTTCATGTACCTAAATCAAGCCATCTTACCCATTTTTTGAGCTAAAACAAGTCTAATTAGAGAAGCAAGAATGGGAACTTAAACTCATCAATAAGACAACTATCTTAGTCAATTCAGGCTGTAACAAATACTGTAAACTGGGTGGCTTAAACAACAGACGTTTACTTCTCACAGTTCTGGGTGATGGGAAGTCCAGGATCAAAGGTGCCGGCAGATTCAGTTCCAGGTGAGGGCCCTCTTGCTGACTGACGAATGGCCACCTTCTTGCTGTGTCCTCACGTGGTGGAGAGAGACCATCTTTCTCATCTCTTATGAGGGCACTAATCACATCAGGAGGGCTCCGCTCTCGTGACCTGATTACCCCCCATAGGCTTCATCTTTAAACACATCAAGTTGGAGATTAAGGGCTTCAGCATCTGAATTTGGGGGGACACAAACATTCGGTCTGTAGCAACAACTAATATTTGTTGTTGTTGTTTAAACCTGCTGGGCTATTTCCCGTGGTTACTAACATTTTTTCCCCCTTTATAATTATATTTTTTAGCTGAAGGGCAAAACAGTCACTGGAACATTACTGTTTTTGTGACAGGGATGGCTGACTCAAACGCCTTCCAGGATCGGGCAGGTCCACGTAAATAAAGGAATAGGCCTCTGCAGACCCGAGAGCAGCCCAGCCCCAGCCGTGCAGGACTCAGGCCTGTGCTGGGTTTCTGGGTGTGTGTTTGCTTTTAAGGCTGGGAATCTGGATTTACATGTGAAATATCAGGTAGATAGTGGATGTATTGTTGCTTGCCTTTTTAAAAATTTTATTTTAATACTACGATAAGCCAAACAAAATACATCTGTGGACTGGTCTGCCTTGTGGGGCACCTGTTCCACCTCTCGTCTTCTCTGTCTTGGTGTCTTGTGCAAAGGGTACTCTCCATTATTTGCCTGAGTGATCCAATTCCATACCTTTTCACTTACATATGGATAACATGTGTTTTATTTCAATCATAGTGATTCATAATCCTTACTGTTTACACCAACAGTCATGATTTAAAGCATGCGATTTCAGGGAAAATAACAGCAGGTTCTATTTGTACTCTACCCAGAAAATTCTTACCTTGGTATTTAACTCTTGATTTTTATCAGAATTCCACCAGATATTGTTGTAAATGCACTGGTGCACCTTGCATTGTAAATTTCATATGGTTTTAGAGTGGGGAAGTTGTCTTAAATGATCTTGGAAAACCAAAACTAAATTGTTGAAACTCCTAGAATAACTTCTCCTATTGGTGTGTTATGATTATAATTTAACTCTCCAATAGTGGGACTCATTAAATAACCTGGCAGTAAGAGTAATCTATCTCGATTAGAATGCCCAGAGAGGGGCTGGCCCTGTAGTGGTGTGGTTAAGTTCACACACTCTGCTTCGGCAGCATTTCGCTGGATAGGATCCTGGGCAAGGACCTACGCACCGCTCGTCCAGCAGCGTACAGAATCTTAGCTCCTCTTTTGAAGTACTGTCGTGCACCACATAATGACATTTTGGTCAACAAAGGATCGGATATATGATAGTGGTCCCATAAGGTTAGTACCATGAAGCCTAGATGTGTAGTGGGCTATACCATCTAGGTTTGTGTAAGTACACTCTATGATGTTTGCATAACCGCGAAATCGCCTAACAATGCATTTCTCAGAACGTGTCCCCGTCGTTAAGCAATTTGACAAAATGGGCATTTTGATCTTTCTATAGGATATTAAGTAGAACGGGGAAAGAAGGAATTGAGAAGTAAGAGTTCTTGTCCTCAAACAATGCCACTATTGATGGACCGTTTTCCCTAGGTTTTTTCCTGTTACGCAGATGAACACTCACATGCTATAGTCTAAGCAGATGTGTCTTGAGTTACTGTGGATCCTTTCCCCACTTTCTTCTCCTAAAGGTTACAATGAGTCTGGAAGTATGTTAATCTTTCTCTTTTTTATTTTCAATAGGTGGAATACATGTTGGTATCTTTTGATCATGAAAATAAAAGAGTCCGGTTGGTCCTGTCTGGAGAGGAACTTCTTGAAACTCTACAAGAACAGGGGGAAAGGACAAACCCAAAGTAAGCTGCTGTACTGAAGGCTTGTCTTAGTGTTTCTGAAACGTTACAACTACTAGAATGGAATGTATAGGAGGCAAGATGGCATAGCTCTTGAGAGCCCAGGCTCTGGTTCTGAGTTATCTGGGTTCAAATCCTGGTGCCTCTACTTAATAGCTGGGTAGTCTTAGGCAAGTTACTCAATGTCTCTATGCCTCAGTGTCCTCATCTGTAAAGTAGGGGTGATAATAATAATAATACCCACCTCGTGTAGGGTATTGACATTTTAAATACATTAACATATTAAAGCACTTAGGAGGGTAAACTCAATATGAAGCTTATTTACTATTATTAAACGTTAAAAAAACATTTCCCAAGTGATATGGAGACCACAGACTGTGGTGCCAGATAAAACATGCAGATGGGTTTTGTTTGGCTGGCAGGATGTTGATAAACTATTTCTTTGTTGAAGTAGACGGAGAGGTGAGGGGGCATGGACTCCCCAGTCGTTTTTCCATTCACTGGATTTTGGAGGCTGCATGTGAGTTTGGAGCCCAGCACTGAACTGAAAGAGCCCTTGCGGCTCCTCTCCTTTCCCACAAAGTGGACTAGCTTGCTAGTGAGAGTGAGTGCCCTGTGTTCGTTTTTAGTTATTTATAAATATTTTGGACCCAGTACTTTCAACACCTATGTAGTTGAATGCTTTCTAAATTTTTTCAGAAACTTTTTAAAAACTTCTAAAAACTGAGTGGCTGGAACGAGATTTTGTTCTTCTCTGTAGCCATCCTACCCTTTGGAGACCAGAGTATGGGAGTTACATGATTGAAGGGACCCCCGGGCAGCCCTACGGGGGAACGATGTCCGAGTTCAACACAGTCGAAGACAACATGAGAAAACGCCGGAAGGAGGCCACTTCTTTACTAAAAGCACATCAGGCTGTTTGCACAATTACTTCATTTCCCAGGTTAGTTCCTCTATGAACAGGCCCCAGCAGACATTTCAGAGCTGGAGGTTATGAAGAGAGCAAATCATGACCCAGGCATTTGAGCCCACAGTTCTCATACTTTACAGACAGTCCGTACTTTATTGGCTGCATCTGATAGAGTCTGTGCCGTTGGAGCTGCAGGTAGAAATTGCCCACCAGTTTCAGTCAGTGGGTGTTGGCCCGGAGCACTGTGGGGAGAGTGTTCGTCTGGGCTCAGTGGGAAAGGCCACCGGGAGGACCACCGTGACTGGTTAGCCGTGTGTCGATGTCCACCCACGTGGGAGTGGAGGGAGCAGCTCGCTGCCAGGCAGGTCTGACCGTGTAAGGAACACCATGTAAGGAGCAGCAGAGTCTCCTGAGGGTTATCAAGTGCTCCTCTCACTCGACTGTGACGGTTGTCTCTCACGCGTGTTTGCCCGCCAGCAACTGGCGGTGTTCGTGGCAGATCAGAGGGTCACCTGTTGGGGGGCTGGCATCAGTGCTCCCAGTGCACGGTCAACTCATTAACTATGAACAGGGGGAGTCACTAGGTTGTGTTTGGATATTGTGCTGAAAAGAAAATTTAGGATTTGTCGTCAAACCTAGTTATGGCTAAAAGTTCATAAAAGTAAACATAAATAGTGAAGTTATGTTGTTAGCTTAGAATGAGGTATATAAATATTGTACAATAATACGTAAATCTGAATGTAAGAATGCAGTTCTGCAAAATTATAAATCTGATTTATCTATGCCAGATATCTGTCAAGATTGTGACAGAGTATGCTTACCTCCTCAAAGTTCAAAGAGCCTTGGGGCTTGGTATCCACGGCCTGGAACACTTTGAACTGTTTTTATACCTTGTTTTTTTTTTTCTGATAAATATCCATAATGAACACAGACATTCAGAGTCATATCATTGGTCTTCGAAGGACACTTAAATGGGAATTTTCTTTTTTAAAATCTCTATTGTAACATCTAAATAGTTGAAACCTTATTGAAGCAACTCCCACTTACTTAAACATTTGGAGAAGCATCTCTTACTTTCTGTGATTGCTTCCTTCCATTGGTGCCAGCCACTACCCTCTCCTTGCCAGAAGAAAAACCCCAACTGGAGGGGAGTGGATGAGCTGGCTTGGAAGAGAGTTGGCGCATTCCTTTGCCCTAATGTTTTAGGGAGGAGGTAAAAAATCATGACTCTGCCATTCACTCAGATACTTGAGTGCCTGCTCCACACCGGACCATGCAGTGTGGGGCACAGTCATGGGTGAAAACAGGCACAGTCTTTGCCTTCACGGAGCTAGTGGGAAACAGAGTAATGCAATACCCATAGATCCAACAAATATGAAGTTGGGGCAGTGCTGTGAGGAAGAGATGTGGAGCCAAGAGAGCGTGACATGGTGTTTAATGGACTCTGTGTGGAGGAGGAAGGCTTCTCCGAGAGAGGATGATTGCAGCAGTGTCCAGAGTTGCAGGAGGAGTTTTAATAGGAATGGGGAGGGGAGGGATGTCCTCGGGAGGGGAGCAGCATGAGCTAAAGTCCTGGGATGAGCCAGGGGAGCAGAGAGCCTTCCAAGAGCTAGGAGAAAGCTGGCCGGTGTGGCTGGGATGCTGAGAAGGAAGTGGAAGTGTGGGGTTAAGTGACACTGGGCAGGCAAGATCGTGTTAACTGAGGGTTTTGGTTGCCATCGTAAAAGCAGTAGAAGGCCTTGGGCAAGCTGGGTTGGGCGGAGAGCATCAAGTTCTTGATTTGCAGCCCTCACCTGGGCTGTAGTGTGAGCAGGGCTATGGGATGGATGCCAGCGCTTACTAGGAGATGAGTAAGGGGCTCCCTCGGGGGAGATGAGGGTGCCTGGATGAGAGTGGGTAGTGGAGCTAGAAAAAGGAGATAGATCAAGAGATGGCAAAATCAGCAAACCTAGGGGTGGAAAGAAGAGATGTCAAGGCTGTGGGTGTAGGTAATTATGCAACTTTAAAATAAGAAGGCCAAGGAGAAGGTTACAGATGTTATTTGACAGTCTCTAGTGAACTGGAAAATTGAATCTTACATTTTCCTTAACATTGAGACGGTTGTCAATTTCACTTAGCAAATTAAAAAAAAAAGTTTTGTAATACAAACCGGAAGCGTTTTATTTTATATTTTAAAATTCAGGAACGTATAGTATTGATTGGCGGTGGGAGTTCTTTCTGGGCCGCAAAGGGAAGTTTTTGGTTAAACCTAATGTGTCTTTTACTTTAAGTGAGAAATGGCTCCATATGGGATAGTTGCCTTTTTTTTTTTTTTTTAGGATTTAGCTTCTTTTTCTTCAGTTATTATGAAGGGAAACTTGAGACAAAGGAATAAGTTTTATTCTAAGAATATTTTCTAAGGGAGGGTATTTTTGGACTTGTAAACAAAACAAGAATAATTGTTAGTTATTTAGTTGTAGGAGCCTCACCTTACATCCATAGTAAATGATAAGGAAAGTTTTCTTGTATTTCGAGATCAAGAGAGAACGAAGTACTCGGTTTAAGTGTAAACATTGTGATTTTTCCCTCTGTAAAGAGGCAAATCTCTGTAGTATGGAAACTGTAGTTGAAAACAGTGGCCATGTGACTATATATAAGTTAATCAAACTTACATAAAATGAAGAGTTCAGTTCCTCGGTCACACTAGCCTCATTTCAAGTGCTCAGTAGCCACACGTGGCTGCCATATTGGTATTGGACAGCACAGATGATAAACATTTCCATCATTCAGAAAGTTCTGTTGGATGGTGCTCATCTGGAAGAAAAGCAGTGCTGAAGGAATCTGAAGATCTGAGTTCTGCCTGCCTTCTTCCAGCCAGACAAGCACATTGTCATTCTCCCTTCATCCATCCTGATTCTGGGTAGCTCAGAATCCTCCAGATTTAAGTTTGTCACTTTCCTAAAGGACTTTCCCTAAGGTTGCAGGCTCACAGTAGATAATGCACATAGCTGTGAAAATTCCCAGGAACTCTGATTATCCCTAGGAACTGTTTTCCAGATAAGATCAGCTAATTCAGTTGTTGCTCACAAGGTGGATGTGGGCAGCCAGCAGGTGCTTTATTGTATAAAAGGTAGGGGTTGAAAATAAGGCATGGGCTCATCTTGGCTCTCAAGCCAAACGGTTTCTACCCTGATGTAAAGCCCTGACAAGAGCCTCCCTGGTTTTGCTTTCACTGACTGTTAGTCTTTGCCCTCCCTCACAGCGCACTTAACCGTGACCTTAAAATTCTTAGAACTGGTTGCGTCACTACAAGTGATATGGATTTTGAGCTTTACACTTAGAGGTAAATATAGGGCTTCATTTTTCTGTACTGGAATTAAAGCTCCTCTTTAGGTCAAGTAAGACTATCAGGTTGGGTTTCAGGCTTCAGAGAGAGATCTCAGGGGTGATGGGGACACCTGTGGAGATACTCCATGATCTTGAGGGATTCGTGAGGTGACCTGCAGAGGCAAAAAACAGGAGACCCCTTCCAGATTCGAACAAAGCTGATCAGGAGGTTGGAGGCAGTGGGGCTGTGCAGGGGTCAAAAGATAAGCGCAGAGATTAGAGGTGGTAACAGAAGACGCCCCGGACGCTACATACAGGGAAACCTATAACCCGTGACAATGGATGGGACCAAGGGAAGTGACTTCTGTGCGGTTGGTCGTCACTATTGGATGAAGAGACGAGTGGGACGTGAGTGCTCTGCAGATACTGAGTGAATGGAAGCTCTCTGATGAAGTCAGTAAAGGGCTGCCATCACAAAGGGAGATCTTGGTGAGCAAGATGACAAAGCACAAGGAGGTGGTGGTAAAGGGGCACAATATATACAGAGCCTCCATATGCCAGACCGTCTGCAAAGGGGAGTACGAGACGTGAGGTCTTTAACAGGTGCAGTGGTGGCAAGACATAATTAACTCTCGAAAACAAATCCTATCTATTTAGTTCTTCAATTTGTTGTAGATTAGGCTGTCCTGGGTTCACGGTGCCCGATTTCAAACCCAACCCGGTGGAAGGAGGAGCTTCCAAGTCCCTCTTCTTCCCTGATGAAGCCATAAACAAGCACCCCCGCTTCAGGTGAGTGTGGCTTTGTGTTTAAACCAGATGTCCCTCACTCAGATCCCTGCCTTCTGAGAGGATGGTGTGCCTGCCCAGGAATCCTCATGGAGCATTTACTGAATTCTGGCTCCCTCTGTAATTAACCAAAGAGGACGGCAGACTTGTATACATACCTGTTCGCATCCTCAGTACCCCCAGGGCTACCTGATTGTTGTTTCTGGTATCCCGGCTTCATTTGCCTGTTTTGCAACTCATCTTAAAGTCACTAATTTAGCTGCTCTCTTCTTTAATGAGCAGATTCTTTTCAGTCCTAGTTCTGTGAACACCTGTTGGGAAGCTTTCCCTTAGTTATTCCTACCTTTTTCCCCTCTGTAAGTTACCATCAGTACCTGTGATCCATTCATCCCACTCTACATACATACATACATACATACATAAGGTAAAATAGGGACATCTGGCACAGAATAGGCATTTCTACCTTCTGTTCTATTAACTTCCCGGTCTGTTAGTCTCTAGGTTAATTCTTGGGTTTTTAAGGTGCTTCGGGGCCCACACCAGTCTGCTCTTGGCTTTGTACCTTGAGTCTCACCTGTCTTCCTGAGCCTAGGCTCCTGCCCTAGAGTCAGGGACGTCGGGACTTCTCAGTGTTCGTTCCTTTAACAAGTCTGCACACATGCTATATGCAGAGTCTTTGGGGAGACAAAGATTTATAGACATAGTTACCAACTTCGAATGGTACAGTGTGCTAAGGGGAAAAGATAGATTATGATGGATGTCAAAGGATGGTAGCCCCAGAGGTCCTCCTTGGAGAAAGGAGGGTGCTTCTGACTGAGGGGATCAAAACAGGCTTTGTGAAGGAGGGAGCATCTAAGCTGAGCCGACAGCAGCACAGTCCCATAGACTCATAATGTGAGCCACAGATGTCATGTTAAATTTTCCAGTAGCCACATTAATAAAAAAGGTTGACTTAATTTTATAATATATTTTCTTTAACTCTGTATATCCAAAATATTTCAACTTGTAATCAGTATTTTTAAGTGTTAATTTTACTTTTTTTTTGTACTAAGTCTTTAAAATCTTGTGTATGTTTTACCCTCAGAGCATATTTTAATTAGGATTAGCCACATTTCAAGTGCTCAGTAGCCACAGTGTGCCTGGTAGCTTCTGGGTTAGACATCGAGGGTCTAGAGGTTAAGTATTAATGCTGCAGATTGGGGAGGGAGTAATGAGGTCTTGGGGCTCCAGAGATGCCTGGAGAAAGCAAGTACTCTAAAGCTTGGCTAACCTCTTTGGAGTTAACATGAGAAGTGTTAGGAATGTAGGGTAAGGCCAGACCATGGCAGACCCCAAGACTTGAGCTTGATTTGGTAACTTACGTGCAGCCCAGGAATCGGGAGTTGAGCAGGGGAGAGAAGGGCATTCTTGAGCAGGAGCCAGAGGCAGTGGTATTAACCCGAAGCCGTCTTTCTGAGTATCCCTCCGAGTGTCTTGATCCACATAAACCTTCTGTAGGGTTGCCTTAGGAGAATTCCTTTGAGGTAGGATTTCATTCCATTTACTTGTGTACGATCAAATTCTTCTTTTACATGATGGTTCTTAGACCGATTTATGACATTTGGTTGTCTGTTTTAGTACCCTAACAAGAAATATCCGACACAGGAGAGGAGAAAAGGTTGTCATCAATGTACCAAGTAAGTCCACAGAGAGGTGGGGGGTGGGAGAGAAGCTCACTGAGTTGTTTTTTAATCCTTGACTCTTAACCATTTCCTTTTTTCTTTTAATTTAAACAGTATTTAAGGACAAGAATACCCCGTCTCCATTTCTAGAAACGTTTCCTGAGGATGATGAGGCAGCAAAGGCTTCTAAGCCTGATCATATTTACATGGATGCCATGGGATTTGGGATGGGCAATTGCTGTCTTCAGGTATTGTTTCAAATATACAGAGAGGCAAAGTGTCCTCATCCATTTCTATTTACAACTTCTTTTCTTTATATATGCATGTTTCCCTTTTAAAAATCATATTTTAATCAGGTTGAAGTGGTAGCCAGTATGCCTTTCTGACAACCAATGAAGTTATTTTAGTAAATTCATTAGAAGTTATCTCTGGGTGGAGAATTTACAGAATCTACAGTTCACTACAAAGATAGTGTTAATTAACTTAACATGTGAAATATTCTGTGGTGGCTGTCTCTCTTCTCTGTGAGCCTAATTTGTGCTGCCATCTAGTGACAGTCTAGCTTTGAGGTTGTAAACATTGCTCATATCTCTTACTGTTTCTACAAATGAACTCTGGTGGATGCACTCCAATGATTTTGTGATCCAAGGAAGGGATTGTTTGGACTTTAAATTTTTATATTCATGCGGGCCATCTAGCGGTATAAAAAGAGTAAATATTTAGCAGCGTTTGTTTGCCTTGTCCCAGCTAAGTTATACGGAGATAGAGTAGCCTTCCTCTGTGTACTCTGAAGACTGGCCTGGATCTAGTTAGATGACTGGTGTCCCTGGTACTGATTGTGCCCAAGCTCACGTGGGACCTGGGTGGCAAGCAAAAACCCATCAGGCAGCACGCGGGCCTGCGTTGGGGTTTTGGCTGTCCCTACTCTGGTACTTGGGTAATTCCCTTCACTTCTTTTTGGCCTCAGTTTTCTCATCCGTTGAAAGAAGGGTTTATATTACGGCCCCTTCTAGGTCTGACTCTAAGCCAATATTTATTACACTGGTTTTGTTAACAGGACAAAACTTATTTTAACCTGTAATTTGTTTAAAATCACGTTAGAGGAGAAGGAGTTGCACAAAAGATAAACTTTCAAATTGAAAATTTCAAAAAAGAGAGAGGCCTCTTGTTATTGTCCAAGGAGATTTTAACCAGTTCCGATTACGTCAGCTGATTAGAAACAGTGTCCTTGGACGCCTGGAGCCATGCGAAGCCTGGCCCCTCATAAGGTCCCTGGGCCTCCAGTCTGTCGCTCTCTACACAGAGGCCAAGAAACCCACATTCCCGTCATCTCAAACGGCTGCAGCAGAGACTCGCGCCTTCCTGCACATGTATCTCTGACATGTTTATTTTTACAACTATGTATGTTCACAGTTGACTGCCAGTTAGATTTTTCCATGCTAAATGTGCTTAAATAATCATAGCCAAGGATAAATTTGTTTTCTGCTTTTCCTGACTTATATAGGTAGTATAAAATAGGTGTCTTCCAAGCAAACGTGGGCCAGTAAGTTTCTTTAGAAATGGTCACTTCATTCAAAAAGAGACCTTTGACTTTTAACTGTGTATCTGCTTTCCTGTCTTAATTACAAATATTCTAAAGAGAACCATCAAGCTTTAAAACTTACAGTGTGTGGCCCTGAAATTGTATCAGTGCTGTTGGAGTAGCGACTGCCCTTTCTTGGTTTAATGTTAAACCAGGGTGTTTTGCCATGACAGCACAGTGGCTCTGTTCCAAAAGGATGTTCTTTCCCTTGAAACGCTGTATTTATACAAATAAATGTGTCCTGATGGTAGGTAGTTAATATTTTTATTAGCTATGGATACAGTCTTCCATCCAGTTTAAGCTTTGTCACGGGTTTAGGATCAAGTTTCTTTTTCTAAGTGGTATGTCCAGCACCCCGGTTTGAAAACTCCGCTTAAAGTCATTCGAGGGGCTGGCCCTGTGGTGTAGTGGTGAAGTTGGTGCACTCTGCCTCAGCACCCTGGGGTTTGCAATTTCAGATCCCGGAAGCTGACCTACACACCACTCATCAAGCCATGCTGTGGCGGTGTCCCGTATACAAAGTAGAGGAAGATGGGCATGGATGTTAGCTTAGAGCTAATCTTCCACACACACACACACACACAAAATCATTAGACAACGTAAAGTGTATGGCAAATGAGACGAATTCCACGTGTCACCGCAGAAATCCCTGCTTTGTATCTCTCACGTGGAACACTAGGAACTGCTTATTACAGTAAAGCAGAAAAATAGTTTCAAGGTGACTTTTTTTTTTTTTAATTTTTTATTTATTTTCCCCCCAAAGCCCCACTAGATAGTTGTATGTCATAGCTGCACATCCTTCTAGTTGCTGTATGTGGGACGGGGCCTCAGCATAGCTGGAGAAGCAGTGTGTTGGTGCTCGCCCGGGATCCGAACCCGGGCCGCCAGCTGTGGAGTGCGTGCACTTAACTGCTAAGCCACGGGGCCGGCCCATCAAGGTGACTTTTTAAGGTTAACGGAAGACTTATTGTACAAAACAAAAAGCTTTTAACCACATTCAAATTCTCGACTCTTGGGGAGCCTTTCAGGAATCATTTAAGTTCATGTCATGTTGTAAGAGGTGTCCCCGCCCCTAAAGAAAATCATGTGGCTTCAAAACTGGGTTCTAGATGAATTCTAGAGTAGATATTTAGGTTTCTAACATCTATTTTTCGTACTTTTCCCCCCTCTCATCAGTTTCCTTAGTGACATTGCTTTTCTTTACATTCTTCAAAAGGGCACCAGAAGCCAAAACTGTCCTTATATTCATGTGTTTTTAAGGTGTAAGAACTTTTTTTTCCCCTTCCCCGACTAAAGCCATCCTCCACAGTGACGTTCTGTTTGGCTTGGCGATGGCTCCGTCAGCTCTCGAGTAAGGAAACTGGTTACTAAATATCTTCGGAAAAACTAAGTCACTTACCTATTGTAACTCAGTTGTTGAATTCCAGGTGCTAATTTTCTTAAGCGTACTTCTCTCGAGTTGACTTTTCCAGGATTTACCTGTGAATTGTCCAGTATGTACTAGGCCATCAAAGAGAAGCCAATCAAAAAACTGAAAAGAAAAAATGCCTGTCACAGTGTCTTCTTAAAAACAAAATTAACAGACAAACTGAAATACCTGAGAGTCATGAGAAAGGACTTAAACTCAGATGCATGTTCAAAAGAAGTGGTCAGAACGTGTGAGGAACATTATGGTATTTTTAATCCCAATCCATATAAATTTGGCCTTTAGGGTCACAGTTTTTCAAGAATCTTACCATTTTATAAAAATGAAACTTATCTCTGCCCCTATGTTCTCCTTAGCACACTCTTTCCTTCAAGATACTGTCTTCGCTTAGTAAGTACTTATTAAGCGCTGAGCAGGTGTCAGACTGTGTTCTCACACGTGGGGTAGAGACCAGGGAGGCAGATCCTGCCCTCCTGGAGCTGAGGCGGTGTCAACACCCCTCTCTTCCCATTCAGTCCTCACCCCCGCACAGACTGATGTCTGAGTCCCCACTCTGCAAAAACTGCCCTTGTTCTGGCTATCAGTGACCAAATTGCCAATCCTTCTCAATCTTGATCTGTTTTAACCTCTTAGTCCTTGATGTCCATGACACAGCTCTTCTCCAGGTTGAATTAATTTGTAATGGCTGGTTAATTATCTTTATATTTTAATTAAAATGTAGCACTGTCTTAATCATTAATGTAGAAATGATAGGAAGGTCAGGATGTGATAAATTATCTAAATAATTCTTGGCTGTAGTTAGTCACCACAGGGACGTGAAATGCTGTTATAACTCAGCAGGCAAACTTTCCAGTCTCCAACAGAAGTTCTCTGCTGATTAAAAAAAAAAAAACAACAAAGTTGAGACCTGGCAAAAACTATTGGAACTAACAGGCTGGGATTGTAACAATAAACATATTCATGCAGCTGCTATTTCGAGCATTAAGCACTTAAATTATTTCCTGCACCAACACTCAGTTCAAACCGTTACTGTTAGATGACAAGAACAGGAAATTAGAACCTTCCCAATTTGCAGTTAATACAGATGTGCTAACACAGCCACCATTTGTGTTCCTTGCCCCCTCCACCACTCCCCACCCCAAAGAAGGCAGGACTTTTTTGTGGTTTCTTGTGGGTAATTGTTTTTAGAGGATGTGTACTAATCAATTGTGTGATCTTTTTCTCTGCCTAACTCTTAAATGACCCCTTCCGTGCAGGCTTCCTGGGTGATCTGCCCATCTTCAGGGCATCATCTGAGCCCACTCCCCAAACCCAGCCACTTAAGGGGCTTCTTTGTCTGTTCCTTGGCCCACGGGGTCATGGTGCCTCTTCTTCCTGTCTGTCCGAGGAACACCTGAGCCAAAACCTAACTCACACCCTCACTGTCTATACCCCACTGGTCCCCAGAGCCTGCTGCTTTGACTCCGCTGGGCCTCTTCCCACGAGCCCTCCTCAGTTTTTTCCTTGACAGTTATGGTGTTTTAACTCCTCTCCTTCCTCCAGGCTTGCCCCCTTCCAAGCCGTTCCCCATACTGTCCCCAGTGAACTTTGAAACCCATCATTCACATCTCCAAATCCCTTTTGTACAAAAATTTATATAACCCCTCAGTTAGCTGCAGAGAATGGGAAGCTGTACGAGGAAATGAGCCAGTAGAAGAGGAAACGCCTTGTTGAACTTCGCTGTTTATCTAATGTCTTATTTTTCTTTCCTGGCTTCTTAATCTTATTTAACTTAGGAACATGGTTATTTATATTAGTCGTGAACATGATTAAGTAACATTTTCTAGCAAAATTCATCCAAGACAGCTTTTAAACAAAATTCCTGTGTTAATGTCATCAATGGCATGATCATTCCATACCATGCCCCCCACCTTCTCTAACTGTCTTCCTTCTCAGACTTGACTCTTTGGGGAGGATGTTAAGAGTTTTCTGTTGTTAATAACTTGCAATTCTTAAACAGGTAACGTTCCAAGCCTGCAGCATATCTGAGGCCAGATATCTTTATGATCAGTTGGCCACGATCTGCCCAATTGTCGTAAGTAGAAGTTGCATCTTATTTTAAATACTTCTTTGTATAAAATAAAGACCGCGTGTGCAAAATTTGCTGACGGCGTGCTATTGCAGTCCAGTTAAGACTCCCTTCAGAAATGAGCTAACCCAGATGGTATGCAGATTAGAGCTAACAAACTGAGTCTAGGCTGTGGAAGTAGACTGTTGCTAATAAGACATTTATGTGTTCAAGTGTCACATTTGAGAGTAGCCATTTTCCCTCTCCCCTCCTTCCTATCCTCACATGACGGAGGATGATTTAAATGAATCAGATCCCAGGATTGGAGTCCCTTCTGGTGCATTTCACCGGGAGAAAGCAGGCAGAGACAGACATCGGAGACCTCGGTGTGGGTCATACATGCTGATTCTTCTTGGCCAGAGAGAACTGCATGGAGCTGTTTTTAGCATGTCGGTGACACTGAGCCTGCAGTGCTGACTTCCGTTTGTTTCTAGATGGCTTTGAGTGCTGCGTCTCCTTTCTACCGAGGCTACGTGTCAGACATTGACTGTCGCTGGGGCGTGATTTCCGCGTCTGTAGATGACAGAACTCGGGAGGAGAGAGGACTGGAGGTGGGAATCACTTTCCTTAATAGCCTTTTGCAATCGAGCAGGTGAAATGGGGTTTCTATAACTGCTTGCAATTTTGAAGTCGCCCTTAAATTTTTATTTTGAGTGGGTTAGTCACATGGGAAGAAATTCACAGGTTATAAACATTCCCTTGTTTCTGGTCTTTGGCTCCATAGTGTTTGTTTTGGAGTGAATATGTGGGAAATGTGATTTGGTTTGGGTGGGGAGTTAATTTTCATCATTTGTCGAAATCTGTATTTGTTTTTTATTTTAAAATTAGCAGTGCAGTTTTTCTAAATTTTGGAAGTCAGTGCTGATGGCTGTTTTTACCAAGAGGCTTTTTGGCTCTACCTGAGTGATTTGTATAGGATGCTTTCTGCTGTGGAACATGTCATCTGTCATCAAAGATTCTTTTGCTCTGTATAAAGGGTTAGGTTTTGCTGAAGAAGGGTGGGTTTGTGCCTCCCGTGTGCATGTTGGGCTGTGACCCTGCATCTCTCCACCCAGAGTGTGCATCAGGACCACCATGGAGACCTTTAAACAGTAGACACCCAGGCCTGTCCTCTACCTAGTAGTCACCTCCAGGTGTTTTCTAAAGGAGTTCCCACAAGTAATTCCGATGTTCTCAACCAGGACGGTGCTCCTACTGCTGGGGTCTTTATGGGATTGTTCATAAATTGGTGAACATGCTTTCTAAGTAGAAATACACTTTAAAGGAGAAATAATTTTGATAGCTTTGTTTTATATTATAGGCTTAATTTTTTGCTTTCAACCTTGGCATTTATTTTCCTAGCCTAATAAGAATGAAGGCGATCTGCTTTAAAAAAGAAAAAAAGTGTATATTTAAATCATACCAGAAAAAAGGCTACTTAAAAAGGCTACTTGCCTCTAGGCTTTTTAAATATAATTTTCCCTAACAATACTTTTCAGGGTTAACTTGTTTTCAGGGTCTATGTTAAGGTTGGACATTTTTATGTAATTATTCTATTTAAAAATATATAGTATTTTAATATAATTACTTGGGGCATTAGTTTATTTCCAGATCATTTTATATGGCATTCATTCATATTTTTTTCGATTTTAGCCACTGAAGAAAAACAACTATAGGATTAGTAAATCCCGGTATGATTCCATAGACAGTTATTTATCTGAGTGTGGTGAGAAGTATAATGACATTGACTTAACAATAGATAAAGAAATCTACCAACAACTGTTGCGAGAAGGTAAGCTTCCGTTCCATTTTTCTGGATTTGATTGTACGCCTTTAGTTCTTCAAAACTCTTTTAAACTTGTTTGCTGACTCCTGGTCTGGTTTCTATTTTTAGTGTACAGTCTCTGACTTTTCTTATGAGGCTGCTTGTTCCTCAAGTTTCAAGTTCCAGATACTTGCGAGGTCTTCTTGACTTTCAGCAAAAGGAACTTACTTCAGACGTCTGTGTGGGGTACACACCAGTGCCCCAGTAGGCATTGTGCAAGTAGCAGATAAAACTCAGACACTTCCCCAAGGTCCATAGGCTAAAATCTTGGGCGACACGAGAATCCTGAACGATCCTGCCATTCCCTAAGCTTCCAGATACCCTGCTTCAAACTTCCTGAGCGGGCCTCTCTTCTTACTGGGCTTAGAGAGCAGTGGCGTCTCGAGCTTTGAAGTGAGTCCCTGTGCCCTCTCTTTGCAGGCATTGACCATCTGCTGGCCCAGCATGTTGCTCATCTCTTCATTAGAGACCCACTGACGCTGTTTGAAGAGAAAATACACCTGGATGATGCCAATGAGTCTGACCATTTCGAGGTACCTCCTCTGTTTCACATGCGTGTCCCGGCACTAACCACGGTGGAGGCAGTTGTCTGGCTGTGGGGAGTTGGTGACCAGAGGAATCTCATTACCCAGTGCAGTGCAGAACTAAGAACAATTTTAGATTGGTCTAAAGTACCTCTGTTTTATCATTCTCACTGGTTATATCTCTGATTCTGAATTTTTTGTTCAGTATTTTCTCCTGTTTGTGTAATGCTGAAAAATTCAGACATGCTGCCCAAAAAGAACATGGCCGGTCATCTCAGCGCTCCTGACCTGTCGCCCAGCTTTTGTCAGACACTCGCTGTTGTTTTCCTAGCAGGTCACGCTCCAAGAAAATCTTAAATTGTACCTTTTCGTATTTGTAAACTGACGAGAATTTTGTATGCAGAGTCAACAGTCTTCTTCCCTTATTACATATCAAATCATCTTAATGTTTTCCTGGACATGTGGAAAGTTGGTTTTATTCTCTGCTTTTTTCTTATAGAATATTCAGTCCACAAATTGGCAGACAATGAGATTTAAGCCCCCTCCTCCAAACTCAGATATTGGATGGAGAGTAGAATTCCGACCCATGGAGGTAAGACACATATGGCAGAAGTGGCTCGAATGCCCCCGTCCTCTGACTGCCCATCACTCTTCTGAAGCTCTCATCAGAGGCTCTTAGATCCGGCGTGTGCATGTTAAAGCAGGTCCAGATGCTAAGGAGGATTGGTTTCTGAGGGTAGATTGTGGGCAGAGGGTTTCCAGACCCAGACAGGGAATTGGGAGGTGGCTTGGGAGTGACAGGACCCACGGAGGGGCCTGTTGGGGAAGAGCACGTCTGTGCGCTTGGTCTGGGCTGGCCTAACCTCTCCGGGCTCCTGCTTGTCCAGGTTCAGTTGACGGACTTTGAGAACTCTGCGTACGTGGTGTTCGTGGTACTGCTTACCAGAGTGATCCTTTCGTACAAGCTGGATTTTCTCATCCCGCTGTCAAAGGTGAGAATACGTTTCAGTATAATGGTGGGTCTAGATGACTGTAGATTACTATCTATTGCTCATTTATATACAACCTTTATTTCAAATCTGACTTCATTCAGAATTGCTCACCCTTCAGAATAAAACACTTCTCCCTCTACCTTATTCTTTTTTTTTTATTTTGAACCTGAGCTTATACCATAGATTTTGGTACTGCTTTGGTGGAGACTCCTGGAAAAAAACCAAAAGTGGTAATAGTGGCTCCTTTCTCAGCCCATTTGAAAGAGATTCGGGATTGCATTTGAAGAATCACTTTATTTCTAGAGGCTTTCGATTCAAGATGATGGCTGGAGTAAGTCCCACAAATTGATTTTGTCCTCTCAAAAATCCCATTTTGGTTATGATATTAAAATTGGGATGGGAGGGGAATGTAGGGAAAGGTCACTTCAGTGGAACAGAGCTGGAGATGTTTCTGGAGAATGTAGATGGCATTAGACTATCAGAAAAACAAATCAGTTAATCAGCCCATCCCAAAAAAACCAAAAAAGCTTTAGAAGCATTTCCCAGCAGAGCCTTGGACCAATTCCAGGCTGTGAGGCAGCAAAGCTGTGGTCGTGGGGCAGTAGCCAAGTCAGTCAAGGCCTTTGATTCCTGGTCCCGGGGGTCTCTTGGCACTGGGAGTGGCTGGAAAGGCTGCTAGGCAGAGAGAAGGGTCTGCTGGGGTTTTAGGGCCAGAGAACGGAGAAGTAGAGCGGCGCTGTGGCGAGAAACATGGACGGAGAATAAACCTGCCCAGCCCAGCACCTGCCCCCAAGACACCTCGCTCCCTGCTCCCTCCCCGAGGGGCTTCTCCAGCCTGCAACGTCCCCCCACACCCTGAAGGAAGTCTGGCTGTCAGCTTGTCCCTGCCTGCTCATCACCCCCCCACCACCACCAGAGGTAACCCACAGAATTCTGTGGGCCCGAGTGACTCGTGGGGGCTTGCCTGCCGGGGAGGTCAGCCCACCTGAGGCAGAGTCCGTGTCAGCTCCAGTCTCAGCTTCTATTTACAAATGGGAGTAGATGTCTGCAAGTCAACAGAAAATGGAGAATATTTAGCCTTAACGAGAAGGTCCCAGCTGGGCCTGCAGAGTATATTATCCTCAGGGGAACACCATTAATTCAAGAAACTGGAAAGATTTCTTAAATTCTAATTAGTGCCCTTGAAGAAGTTATAGAGAAGGCTTGCATCCATAAAATAAACAAGCACTAAGGAGCGTTTGAAGACTAGGAGCTCTTAGAAACCAAGAACATGGTAGCCACACTTAAAACTGTGTACTCACCAGTAGAGCACATATTGTTAAAAATCACAGTTACTGATTTAGGAAACCAAATTGAGATTCATCCCAGCAGGATGGCAAAGAAATGGAAAAAACGGAAAAACTGAAGCATGGGAAATACTCTGGAAAGTTCAGTGTGTATGTAATAATTTAGAAGAGGAGAATGGTCTATATAAGAGATATGAGAGATGATAATCTAAGAAATAATAGATGGAATTTTGCCTGAGTGAAGAGTCCATTGAGGATGAGATAAATATTTATAGAAGAACTCAAATCTAGGAATTTCTGAATCTCAAAGAGAAAAATCAACAGTCCAGATAGGAGAGAAACTTAGGATAGCCGCCAGGAGGGAAAAATCAAGTGATGCCACTTCTCATCTAAACATAGAGTGCTAAAAGAGAGGGAGAAAAGCCTACAGAATCCTGAGGGGTCGAGAGTTACGACCACAGAATCCTCTTCCCAGCCAAACTAGTCTTTAAATTCCAGGTGATTCTAACAAAACTTAATTAAGTTAGGCTAAAAGGATGCCACAGCAGTCTCAGCCACAGCAAGGGGACAGTGGAAGGAGACAGATGGCAGATACTCTAGTTAAATGTTTGACATTAAAGAGAGAATTTCAACACTAGTTTAAAAGTAAGCAAAACTACTAATGGTATAGAAATAGCATGTTGCTTCTAACCTGCTAGCTAAAAGAGGTGGGAAAAGAACAAAGAACTTTCCAGTGCCACAGAGTGGGTGTGGGGCCCAGGGCGTGGTGCGACAGTGTAGCCAGAGAACATAACATGGTAAAATCAGATGCAAACACATTTGAATAGGCTAAACTTTCCTGTTCAGAAGCTAAAACATGATATAAAATAGCAACAGAAGGGTATATGTTGTTTACATAAGACATACCTAAAACAAGGACAGATGTGGAAAATCCAGAGCTACGCGATGACCTTTTACGATAGCAGGAGTGACAAGGTAATAACAAACAGAATAAAACGAGATCAAATGTTGCATGAGACGGAGAAAGCAGTCTCATCCCCTCTTCCAGGATGATGTCAGAGCTGTGCTACTTTTTGTCAAGTGCAGCAAACGCTTCTCAGAAGCACAAGCAGAAGAACCTAGAGGCCCGGCCGTGTAGGGCGAGATACGGCTGTGGCGTGAGGACTAAATTCATGAATCACTCGTACCACTTACTCACCAGCTTTGTAACCTGGGCGAGTTACTCATCCTCTCAGGGCCTCGGTTGGCGCTTGTGGATGGGGATAAGTGGGCTGTCGTACGGCCACGTGGGATTCAGGGAGGTAAGTCACCGAGAGACCTTGCGTGTCACTCAGGAACTGACAGCTCATATGATCAAAGGCTCAGAGGCCACGGGGGAATTAGATGACCCGGGTGGTACACTTGGTCTTGGAGCCCACATCACGATCTCACACCACAGCCTGTCTTTTTTCAAATGCTCCAAAGGAGATTTACAAAAGTTAAGAGAAATCGTCTCTTCTCAAAAGTAGACGCCACACAGGCTGCGTTCCCACCAAAATTCAACAAAAAGATGTTCAAGAGAAATTTAACTATTGGAAATTTAAAGTAGTTTTCCTAATAGGTTCTAGATTAAGTCGACTAGAATTACAGATTATGTAGGAAAGTGAATGGCAGTGGGATGCTGGCAAAGCTGGTCTCTAAGGGAAAATCATCTAAATGCTTTAACAGAAAGATTGAAAATAAACCTCAGCAGTGAAATTGAGAATCTAAAGAGCAATAGTAAAATATACTTTTAGAAAGGAATTCATAGAAGCAGAAATTGAAATAAAACCAGTGATATTTATGAACTTTGTCAAGACTAAGAAAAAGCATATTGGAAATGAAAACAAAGATATTCCTAGCCATGGTGGAATTTTAGACTATTATTTGAATATGCTCCTAGAAGTGTCTAGATTATTGAGGTCATGTGTGTCTTTAAAGAAAACAAAACAACAACAAAAGGAATTGAGTATGGGGGAAAAGTAAGTAATCAAAGACTTTATACCGTCATCCCACTTAATGTGACCTCCTAACTTGTTTCTGTTCTGTGTATTGAAATTCCCCTGAGATTTCATTATAGGAAATATGGGACTCCTGCTAAAAAGTTTTAAAAGCTCTACTTGGAGGGTCTTAAAAAGTGACTGGAGAAATGGAGAATTCACAAATCAAGAGGAGGTTTTTGGCCTCGTGAATGAGTCCACATGGCCAGAGCCACCACATAGGCAAACGGCAGTGGGTGGTGACCCTCTGCTCGGAGGGCTAGCCTTATTCCAGATCTGACAGCCTGCTGACTCTTTCCTTTTCCTCACCACAGTGAGGCAGCGAAACCCCAGAGGAGGGAGGGCAGAGCACGGAACTAGAAGGCAGGAGAACTGGGTCCCCTGACTGGGTTCTCTGCCTTTCCGTACCTGGGATCTTGGGTGAGTCGCTGTGCTGTGTAAAGGGAACCAGCCACCTGTCCTCCATAGATTCTTGCAAGGTTCAGTCACAAAGGTGCTTTGAAATGTGGATGGCCTCCATGGATATAAGTTGTTGTTTTGTAAGGTAAGCTTCTCTTAGAATTCCCCCATTGTTATTGACAAGCACATGCCAATCTGTAGTTGAGTGACACCGGCCCCACATACAAGTAAAAAGTCTGTTCTTCCAACCAGAAGGTATTGGAGGGGCAAGTAGGATTCTTAAGGGAGTGAGTGCTAACTGCAGAAGCAAGGAAGGCGCTATAACTTCTGTGTTTGGTCAAGAATGTTTTGACTGAGCCATGATTATTTTTCTCCCTCAGGTTGACGAAAACATGAAAGTTGCACAGAAACGCGATGCTGTTTTGTGGGGAATGTTTTATTTCAGGAAAGATATTTGCAAAGGTATTACATTCTCTGGGATTTCGAGGGTCACTTTAGGCTACAAGCAGCTGCTAAAGCTCCTTGCACTCTTCTCCGCAGGGGGCAACGCTGTGGTGGATGGCTGTGGGAAGGCCCAGAACAGCACAGAGCTGGCCACGGAGGAGTACAGCCTGATGAGCGTAGACACCATCATCAACGGGAAGGTAGGGGCCCTGTACCGCGCACCTCCCCGCTTACGCCAGTGGGCAGGGAGCTGATGATGCATCCTGCTTCTTGTAGGAAGGTGTGTTTCCTGGGCTGATCCCGATTCTGAACTCTTACCTTGAAAACATGGAAGTGGATGTAGACACCAGATGTAGTATTCTGAACTACCTAAAGCTGATTAAGAAGAGAGCATCTGGTATGGTATCATTTGCTTTTCTTTTAAAAAAACAAAAAAACTCTTCATGTAGGCAGACCCTCACCATCTTACAACATTCAGTTTCTTAAAGTAGTCTTTTAAAGTATGCCGTATTGGGCCGGCCCCGTGGCTTAGCGGTTAAGTGCGTGCGCTCCGCTGCTGGCGGCCCGGGTTCGGATCCCGGGCGCGCACCGACACACCACTTCTCCAGCCATGCTGAGGCCGCATCCCACATACAGCAACTAGAAGGATGTGCAGCTGTGACGTACAACTATCTACTGGGGCTTTGGGGAAAAAAATAAATAAAATTGTAGAAAAAAAAGTAATAATAAAGTATGCTGTATTTGATCAGTGCACGCGCTGCACATCTGACATCCTTGCACTTGAGCACCCCCTGGTAATCTTGGACACTCACAGTTTAATTAGCAGTGCTTTTTTCTTACTGGTTCCTCAGTAGTGGTGCACCTTTAAGTTAGTGGCATCTTAGACGATGAAATAGAGTATCTGGCTGGCCTATTTGTCATTTGTGTCTGGCTGTGTTCGTTGTGCATCATTGTGGGTTCTTTGTAGAGGGCCAGGTAACTCTATAGGTTAGATAAGCGACACAGCTAGGGTGTCTGGGTCTTCAGCCTGCCGCCACATGGTGAGCACCCTAAGAACGCCCTTCTTGGTTGGCTTTGAGGAGATCTCATTGACCTTGCCTAACAAGTGCCCGGCACAGGGAGCTGGCAGCTGCGAGTAAGGGTGACAGTAATGGTGGGAATGGCATCTGGGTTTCATCTGGGGCTTCTGTAAACTTCCTGGAGTCACAAAGAACATCCCCCCAATTTCTCTCTTCACTCTATGTATTATTCTTGATTCTTTCCTTGTCTTTGATCCAAGTTTGCTCTGGGAAACTCGGGACCCTCCCGTTCTCTGAGGCAGTCTCCTGCCACGAGCACATGTAGCCTTAGCCCTCTGGCCCAATGGGAGCACCCGTGCTCTAGCGCACACGTGTTGGCTCCTGTTTCTTGAGAGCTGGCAGTGTCAGTGTGTGGGTAGCATCTAGCAGGTACCATAGCAACGGGATGTGTGTGTTCTAGTTGCCTGCCTGCAACCTAAAATTCTTCCCCAGGAGGAATTCTTCAAACTCTATGAAAAATATGTTGTTCCCAACCCCTGCCATGTGGCTACACCAAAAGGTCATACTGATTTTTTCTCCGGACTGTGTTTATACTGGCCACGAAATGTCAACTTATTTTTAAAAAGCACTACTATAAACTTACATTGCCTTAAAATACTTTTCTTCAGGAGAACTAATGACAGTCGCCAGATGGATGAGGGAGTTTATCGCGAACCATCCTGACTACAAGCAAGACAGTGTAATAACTGATGAAATGAACTATAGCCTTATTTCAAAGTGTAACGAAATTGCAAATGAATTATGTGAATGCCCCGAGTTACTTGGACCAGCATTCAGGAAAGTAAAATACAGTGGAAGTAAAACTGAGTCTTCCAACTAGACCTTGTGCAGAGGGACGACTGCATTACTGTCCCATCGAGGCACTGACTGCAGTACTCCAGCCCTGCGCGTGGTGTGAAGACCAAATCATAGAACCGCACTGTGTCCTGAGCCCATCGGCCAGATGGGTTTAGAGGCTGCCTTCAGTAGGTGAACCTAGAGTTTATACAGCGTACATGTACATAGTAAAGTATTTTTATGATTAACAGTGTATTTTAATAACATTGTATCTAAAGTCATCGTGAACTGGCATGTACATTTTTCACTTCTTAACTCTGGAACAACTACTGTCTAAACAGTTTTGTAAATGTAACGTACTGGTCATTGTACTAGACCTGCATTCCAGAGTTGACAATGTTGACTGTAAATTTTTGTTTTTTTTTAAAGACTTTACCTGGGACCTGATTCACCGAAATTGATCGCTTCATTATAAAACCAGTCTGTCTTACTGACTTTCTCTGAGTCATCTCCTTTCTTGCGTACATAGAACCACTATGCCTCCTCCAAGGCGCTCCTAGGGTGAGCTTGGGTTTCTGGCACCTTATCGATGATGTTTCTTTGCAATCGGAACAGCTCACCCCTTGGTCCCCCTGCCCCAAGCTTTCACCACTAAATAAAACCCATGAACTGATGGCTGTTATAGAAGGTATTTTCCTTATTTATTTGTTATGAATTTGCTGATTCAGGCATTAAGTTTAAAGACAACTCCGTATTACCCCAAATTCTCATGTACTGATTATTGGGGGTGATAATTTTTTAACTAAGAAAGGGGAGAGTCGTTTTTCCTCCTGTACCTACCCAGAGTAATGGTACCAGCTCTTCTGTTGAGGCCCCTGTATACTGAAATTTCCAAATCAAATGCAGTTGCTATAGTTTTTGTTTTGTTACTTTTTTCCTAGTTTCCAGTGAGCATATTGACAGACGTTCTTCTAAAAGCCATTCAGTCTAAATTTTACCTGGGAATATTCTACCTAGAGCTCACCTTCCCTATGAAACTCATAAATAAATCATGATGTGCACTAAGTTTTGTGAATCAGGACCCTAAATGTGTAATTGTAAATAATTTAAGTTTCACATGATTGTTAGAGCTTTATGTTGAAGTTTTTTTTTCCCCAGTTAGTTAAAAGTCTTAACTGCTTCTGAAATAAATATGTATAGTAGATTATGCAAACCTTTACAGGTATAAATATTTAAACTATAATGCTAATTTTAAGAAATTGCAATAAAGCTGCTTCAGTTAAGCCTGTTTATGTGTAAATACTCGGGTTTGTGCTATATTTCATACATGCATTTTGGAAGATTAAAGAAAGCCCGTTTTTCATTTGCAATTTGTGTAAATCAGGTTGTAAAAAGGCAGATAAACTAAAATGTTTGTGGTGTGAGGAAATAAAAGAATGGAATTAGCATTCTGAAAACTCCTGAGTGTGTGAGTCCTACAACTGTATGGTTGGTGGTGGGGTTCGTTTTTTTAATTAGCCCAGATGTTCCCAGAAATTACTTCTACGCTGCAATCCCCAGATGTTTTTAGAAAGAAGCATAGTGATGAGAAGATGCTGCGTCTCCCTTGGTGGCTGTCCTCCCCTGTGGGGAGGCGAGGGACTGCGTGTGGCTGAAATGACCAGTGGGCCACTGGAAGGGAATTCTTTTACTCCTACCTTCTGCTGCACTTTCAGTGGTCACGATGCGTGTTGAGTGACTGCGTGCTGTGGCACACTGAGCTGGAGACGTTAGACTGAAGCCACACGGCCTGCAGAGGGCGGCTTCAACCCTTGTCTTTGGATTGGCATCTCCCTCCTACTCCTCAGCACCCAGTCCACATAATACTGTTCTCATCCCGTCAGCCCACTTTCTAGAGCTCCGGGGGCTTTCTCTGAATGATCCTAGGGCAGTGCTTGTCAAACTAACCTGCATACAGATCTCTGGAGGGGCTTATTAAAGTGCACGTCCTGGCTCGGTGGGTGTGGGGTGGGCCTACGGTTCTGCATTTCTGACAAGCTCCCAGGTGGTCGTGATGCTGCTGGTGTGTGGGCCACATTGAGTAGCAAGGACTTAGAGCACTTTCTTTACCTCAGTTATAGGCAAATCAACTTTAAGTCTCAAATGACACTTTTTAATTCTGATGTGTTGTATCTAGATTTTTCTCATACTGAAAACCAGGTCATGGTACTCTGTATCCAAGACAGAAAGTAAGTACCACCTTTCATGAGCTTTACCACCTGAACACAGCTGAGAATTCGGAGTTTTAGGAACAGAACTGTAAATATTGAGATGAGCAGGAAGGGCTGTCCTTGGTGGAAATAGTTGTGGCTGAGCCCAGACTCTGACCCTGACTTAGAACACGAGGGGCTGTTACTTAACCGACTTCTAACCCCAAGTCTCGTTTCCTGCCCATCAAGCCTCCTGGATTAATAAGAGGTTTCCTCTTGGTCCAGATGCCTGTGCCCTCTGGTTCATCCCTGAGGCTGGCTGTGAGCCTTTCCAGTCAGAGATGGAGGGCGCTCGCCTTGGCCACTTCCTGAAGCACTACCTACACAGAAATTAACCAGGAGACGTGGGAATCCGGGACGCGGTGCGGGTTGGGCCACGTCTCTGGGGAGCTGATGGGAGGTTTCTCGGGAACCTGAAACGGCAAGGATAAGAAGGGGGAGTATCCTTCAAGCCGCTGGTGGTGCCTGTCCTGGGGCAGGGGACCACCAGAAGGATGCCTGAGCTGCTCCCGGCTGGAGGAGGGGCCCTCTCACAGCTGTAAAGAGGCTGCTTAATTGCCAGGTTCTTAGAGGTGCTGCTAGCATGCTTTCCATTTAGGTTAAGGCTTCTCCCCACCTTTCCCTGGATAATCCCAAAGGTCCTTTTCATTCTTAACATTCTATGAAATGAAACATAACAAAGCTAAGTATGGAAGATGCCTTAAGAAAGAGCAATGGTGCCTCCAGCTTCTTATTTCAAACTATATTACAAAGCTGTAGTAGTCAAGACAGTACGGTATGGGCATAAAAACAGACACAAGAGATCAATGGAACAGAATAGAGCCCAGAAATAAACCCACGCATTATGGTCAATTAGTTTACAACAAAAGAGCAAAGAATGTACAATGGGAGAAAGGACAGTCTCTTCAATAAATGGTGTTGGGAAGACTGGACCCCTATCTTACACTGTACACAAAAATTAAAGTAGATTGAAGACTTGAATGTAAGACCTGAAACCATAAAACTAGAAAAAAATATAGGCAGTAACCTCCTTGACATTGATCTTGATGATGATTTTATGAATTTGACAATAAAAGCAAAGGCAACAAAAGCAAAAATAAAGTGAGACTACATCAAACTAAAAAACTTCTGCAATGCAAAGGAAACCATCAACAAAATGAAAAGGCAACATACAGAATGGGACAAAATATTTTCAAATCATGTATCTGATAAGGGGTTAATATCCAAACTATATAAAGAACTCATAAAACTCAATAGCAAAAAACCAAACAATTCCATTAAAAAGTGGGCAGAGGATCTGCATAGATAATTTTCCAAAGAAGCATATAGACAGCCAACAGGCACATAAAAAGATGCTCAACATCACTAATCATCAGGGAAATGCAAATCAAAACCACAATGAGATATCACCTCACACCTGTTAGAATGACTATTATCGAAAAGACATGTTGGCGAGGATGTGGAGAAAAGGGAACACTTTCGCACTACTGGTGGGAATGTAAATTGGTGCAGCCACTATGGAAAACAGTATGGAGTTTCCTCAAAAAGTTAAAAATAGAACTACAATATGATCCAGCCATTTCATGTCTCAGTATTTATCCAAAGAAAATGAAAACACTAACTTGAAAACCTGTCTGCACCCCCATGTTCATTGCAGCATTATTTACAATAGCCAAGATATGGAAACAACCTAAGTGTCCATCAATGGATGAATAGGTAAAGAAACTGTGGTGTGTGTGTGTGTGTGTATACACACACACACACACACACTATATGGAATATTATTCAGCCATAAAAAAGAAGGAACTCTTGCCATTTGTGACAACATGGATGGAACTTGAGGGCATTATTAGCTAAGTGAAATAGGTCAGAGAAACACAAATACCTTATAACCTCACTTATATGTGGAATCTTAAAAAAAAAAAATTTATAGATACAGAAAACAGATTGGTGGTTGCCAGAAGCGAGTGAGGGATGGGAAAATGGCTGAAGGGGGTCAAAAGGTACAAACTTCCAGTTATAAAGTAAATAAGTCATAGGGATGTAATGCACCACATGGTTCTATAGTTAATAATACAGTATTGCATATTTGAAAGTTGCTAAGAGAGTAGATCTTAAAAGTTCTCATCACAAGAAAAAACTTTTTTTGTAACTAAAATGGTGATGGATGGTAACTAGACTTGTAGTGATCATTTCACAATGTGTACAAGTATCCAATCATGTTGTACACCTGAAACTAATATAATACTATAGATAATTATGTCTCAATTTAAAAAAAAAAGAAAGCAATGGACTATCACAACGATAGAAGAGAAAGAACTCTTAGACACAACGTGGCTGAATCCCACAAATGTCAGGCTGAGTAAAGAAGCCAGATAAAAAAGAATGCATACAGTATGATTCAATTTATAAGTTCAAGAACAGACGAAACTCCGTGACAATTGTCCAAGTCCCACTAGTGGTTACCTCTGAGTGCGAGTGCATCATTATTGACTGGAAAGAAACTGGGTGCGAGTGCATCATTATTGACCGGAAAGAAACTTCTGGAGTGCCAGACATGTTCTATTTCTTAATCTGGGTGATGATTCATGTATTTAAATATGTTTAAAAATCACCAAGCTTAAGATGAGAACATTTTATATATATTATGTATGTTATACCTCAAGCAGAAGAGAAAAATGTGGGTAAAAACAATTCAGAAGGAAGGAAGCAGGGAAGAAAAGGAAATTTTCTGAGCAAAAACTCTACCTGTGGTGTATGTGTTGAATAACTGCATTGTTTTATACCTTTTGACTACACTGTGCTTTCGTCATGGCATCCTAATGAAAGCAGTTTAACAGCTAACATCTCAATCAAAAGTATTGTGTTCTGGGGCCAGCCCCATGGCTTAGCGGTTGAGTGCGCGCGCTCTGCTACTGGCGGCCCGGGTTCAGATCCCAGGCGCGCACCGACGCACCACTTCTCCGGCCATGCTGAGGCCGCGTCCCACATACAGCAGCTAGAAGGATGTGCAGCTATGACATACAACTATCTACTGGGGCTTTGGGGGGAAAAAAGGAGGAGGATTGGCAATAGATGTTAGCTCAGAGCCGGTCTTCCTCAGCAAAAAGAGGAGGATTAGCACGGATGTTAGCTCAGGGCTGATCTTCCACAAAAAAAAAAAAAAAAAGTATTGTGTTCTGAAGTTCCTAGGAAATTTGTCAGGACTGGGTTTGGAGGGGACACAAGTGCTTCTAATGTGAAAGCAAGAGCATAGACTTGAGTTCAAATCCTGATATTTATACATACTAGCTGGGTGGCTTCAGGCAGTGACACAACTTCTGTGTCTCTATTTCCTCTGTAAAAGAGACATGAGAATACTTTGCAGAGTTGCTGTGGGGTAGATGAGTGAAATGAGATGATGTGTGTAAAAGCAAAGTCCA